CAAGATGTGACAGGCCATGTGCCATGCACTGGCAGCACCTCTGAAGCACTTGTAGCAGGCCAGAGAGAGCAGACATCGCCCTCTGCAAGGTGTGCATTTGGTTTTGCAAGGTGTGCTTGAGCTTTGGCAAGCTTGTCGCAGTCGTTCTGTGAAAAGTCATAGGTGGGATGGTCATAGGTCATATAGGAGGATCATCATGCAAGATACATATATAGCAGCAAAGAATAGGGCATGCCAGACTGTGATGGCAGGCATTATATTCCCACATTATATTTAGGACAGTAAAGAGACACACAGACCACCTTCACAAAAATTAACTGTGCGAAGAACTGGAATAAAGACCTGCTTGGATATGCTGCTGCCCTACACCCCACATTCACTGAAAGGATCTATATATTTTAGCTGTTTATTGTCTCAGTAAAATCTGCACATCCTGCGCCTCGTGCAGCACATATTCCCCATTGTGAACCTTCCTCTTGGGACCATTGAGGAGTTAAATCCTCACAGATGTAATAACATGCTCTAAGCACCTCATCATTGAGCAGGTGCAGAAAATCCAGGTGAAAAAGGCAGGTCACAGCTGTAGTTCCATGGTTGAGCATTGATTGCATGCTGTACAGATCGGAATTCCAGCACTCAGCTACAGGTTATCATGTCCCGGCTGGAATTTGAAGATGGAATGACAGATAAGGTTCTACAGCACAGAGACACTATCAATCCAGACTTTATCTTATCTTAATTGTGAAAAACTGAGATTAAAACTTTCTGGGTTTGTATCACTCAGAGATTTGGACTTTGACTACTGAACTCACCACCTCTGTTATTAGCTGCTCACAAACTATTTCTCGGCTGTCCACAAAAATGGTACATGCGCTTTTATGCATGCTATATTTTATAGAAATTAACATAGCATTTCTAAAAAAAAAAATCAAACAAACCAACAAAACAAATAAAAACTAGCGTTAAGAATTTCCACTGAGTTCTGTTGAAAACAGTGTGAAAAAACTGAAAGCAGAATGAGAAGCAACGTATTCTGGCACCAAAGCTTTTCCAAATGCAAAAAAAAAAGAAGTTTCCTCTACATTTAGCAACCAAATTCTGTATATTGTATGAATTTGTCTTTGAAGTGTCTCATTCAAGAAACATTTTTTTTTAACAGGATTCCCTAGTCAATTAGTCATGGACATGCTATATATTTTATCACATAACTTACCTTCATATGCAACTTTAATTGAAACATACCCTCATGTCAAAAGCATTAGCAGTTCTTTGGCATTTACTGGGAGCAGCTCATGACTCCAGGAGGCACTAGTTTGAAACCACAAAAATCAATCCAGAAGGAATCACCTTGCGGGGTCGGTGCAGGGAATCCAGTTCACCGCCGGATCAGGGATATCCTCCAGGTAGGGGTAGATGGCTTCTCTTGTGAAACGCCAGCCATAAATGCCGTCTTCAGGGGTCACAATGATGCGGGCGCCCTGACACAACAGGCTCCATTAAGATTTCACTCACCAACAGATAGCCAGGAGGGTCAGCAGAAAACACTAATGAACAGCACTCACGATACAGCTAGTACCTGCTGGGCGGCTTCCTTGATGGCCCCTTCCAAGACATCCATGTTCTTGTTCATCAGGGCCAAAGCATCATCAGGAGAAACAGGCTTGTCAGGGACATCTGACAGGATGGCTGCGTGCTCGTAGACAGCTGCAGTGAAGGTGTCGGAGGCAAGGGCCTGAAGGACTGCGAGGGCGAACACCACAGCGTGCAGGAGAGGCTGGGATGGGAGCATGGCTGTTGCCTTGCAGCTCCTAGAATGCTCTGAGTCATGGACAAACAGTGCAAAAGGAGCATGCATAGTAAAGAAGAGAGGGACAATGTTTAACTTTGAAGGAGGGAGGAATTGCTGGTCTGTTAAAACATTACTTTGGAATCAAATGTCACTGGTGACATATGGGAAAGAATTACAGTACATAGTGCACAGTAAGGATGTTGCAACTCAACAAGACTAAAAAACTAGGCAATGCCAAGACTAATTGTGCCAATAAAAATATGAGTCAGTAAACACATGGTTAGAAAGAACAGTCCAATTTTTGTTGTTACGCTTTTCTCTGTCATGGATAGCAGTAGACTTTTGCTGTCTATGCTGGCTTAACTCTGATACCTGAGTGAAAGGTGGATATGTCACCCCTGGAGCTAGTCTTCTGTGAAGTCCGAGTGGCCAAACTGAGGGTCTTAAAAACTGCTTTATTCTAGTGTCTTCACATTCCCCAGTTCTTGTGCTGTGTGCCAGTATGTGCAGCTTGCTTCCCTGGGTTTCTTTAGACCAAAGTCATTACATCAGCATCTGACTGTACTTAGATATTATACACTTAACATGCCAGCAACAGAATTGTCCCTTGCATGTATGCCAGTGGCTCTCCCACTTGCTTCTGTTTAGCTGTATGTCACTTTCCAACAGCCTTCCACCAGAAAATATGCATCTGGAGAGAATGTTTTCCATTGAAATCAGACAGGTAAGCCACCAGCTGGACCATTAACTTAGTACTTCATTGCCTGGATGCTGCTAGCCTGAGCAGAAGGGCAGGCTAGCTCACCAGGTGCAGTGGCATGCCTGCTCCTCTGCTCACCTTTCCTGTCCCCAGGAACATGCTGAGTATCGAGAGGCCTTCATTTTCCATCTTTTACTTCAATACAGTTCACTTGCATTTTTTGCTATGACATTTTCCCTTTTCTGTCTTTCTAGTAGCTGCAGTATTCTCATTTGGAAAAGGTTTCCTGAATAGTGGGACGCTGAACAGGCTGTCTGCCTTCAGTGACAGCAGACTTATTCCTCTTAGCCGAGAATTCCCTGCAAGAGCAGCTCTGATCGAGGGTTTCAACCCTTAGGAACATTGCATCCAGTAACGTTCACCTCTAAGTACTTCTCTGCATACATTGCTAGATACAGCAGGTTCCTTTGAGAGCCTTAAATACGAGCCTTTAAAAGGCTGCAATAAAGATTTCAGTGATAATTGAAGTAATGTAGCTTGGAAGCCTTCCCTCCCCCCATTTTTCTTACCAAATGAAATACGGATTGAGTCACAGTAACCACAGTCCTATCAGACGTAAGTCTGAAGGAGGAAGCAGTTTTTCTTCCTTGTTTAGCAACAGCTGGGACGACAGTCAGCCCAGAGAAGTGACTATCCTGGCAGGACTGAGCAGAAAAAGTTACAAGTGCAGGGCCAGGGTACTGCCCTGCAAAGTTCAAGTCACGCTGCCAGGGCAGGGAGGCTTCTGCAGTAGGGGGGGATGGAGCCATCCCTGCCTACCTGCAGAGCTGGGACCTCACCCAAGGACAAGGAACTAATGCCAGTGAAACAAACAGACCCACTGAATAAAACTTAACGAAACTACAGCGGTCCGGGCTATACACGGCTGCAGGCAATGTAAGAGGAAGCTCATCCTAGAGCTCCCTCTACTTTTCACACCTCCATCCTCCCAATCCACTCTCCCCACCCCTGTACT